TGTGTGTGTGTGTGTGTGTGTGTGTGTGTTACATACTGCATGTCACATGGGTCCATTTCGGACCCGACCAGTAGGCCTAGGGCTACCACAGGCCTGGACACGATAGTCCAGGCCGATCCGGTCCAAAGGCCGGACCTTTATGAGGAAGGCCGCCCGGTAGGCCCCGTCGCACACACCCAAGCAGACACGGTCCAAACGATATTACCGTTTGGACCGGCGGCGCACTAGAGGCTGCCGCCCGCAAGGCCGATCTGAAACCACAGATCGGCAACCGGATCCAACAGTTCAGACCACGGCACTGTTTCGAAGCAGCAAGGCCGAACAGGCCACCATGGTACTTAGTACCCAGCGGCGGTCTGTTCAGCGATCCCAGAGGAGTACGGCAACAGTTGCAGAATAGCGCTGCGCTAATCTGTGTTTAGCACAGCTCCGAGCACAGAAGCGCTGATTAGCGCTGAGTGACGGTTGGAGGTGGCGGACGAACACTTAACGGCTTACCTGCGCAGTGCCATAGCTCTAGGTTGGAGCCGCGGGTCTTTGACAGTTCCAAGGCGCCAGCTTGCATCCGCAGGCCACCCCTCTGCCCCTCTCGGATTCTTCTCTTCTTCTCCTTCTTCTCTTCTTCAGACTTCTTCTTCTTCTTCTTCTTCTTCTTCTTCTTCTTCTTCTTCAGACTGGAGACTATTGATACGAGTTGGACAGAGATCAGTGATTGGACTTCGGTGGTAGGAGGATGTGATACTTGCCAGATTCGAGACATTGGAGATCTCTGGGATTGGTACCTGGCGGCATCACAGATCGGACATCGGTTACAGTAGAGTTCTGTACCTCCGACATTGGTGACTTATGTCCACGACATTCTGATTTTGTTCGGTGACATTTTAGGCTACCATATCGGTGACCTTCTGGATTCTATCTCGGTGACATCTGGCGCTGTCTATATTTCCCACCTCCATAGTCTCTCCTCCCACCATTCATCTGTGTATGGTTGTACGGGGCTGAACCATCGTCTATGTATGACTTCAGACCCCACCATCTCACGATTGCTTGTGTGTTGAGTGATGTCTAGGTGAGTTCAGTCCATGTGAGTCAGTCCATTTCTCAGACTTCCGCTGCATACATGCTCATCCTATATTGGTTGATCTTTGGTTCTGCCCATACTTGGTGACCGTATTCACTAGTATGCAACAGTTTGGTATCGGAGCAGACTAATTAAGTGGATCTGCTCACAGGGTAATTCTGATTAGGGAATCGATTGCTTAATTAGCATTGCCTTTTTCCGAATTAGTTCTTCACTACTATTGAAGATTCAAGTTGCAAAGTTCTATTTTTAATTCGGTATTCTATTTTAATTCGGTATTGAATTAGGATTGTGATAAGTTTGGTTTTCCGCATTGGGGGAAAATTCGCGTTTTCTGGAACCATAAACCGGAAATCCCGCGAAATCGCAGAAAATTAGGGTTGAGGTCCGAAATTTTCGCGATTTCCTCCCCCCCCTTACTTGTTGAAATTCCGAATGCGGACTTCAGGCTTCTGAAAATCGGACGATTTTAGGTTGAAATTCCCGAAATTTCATGTTTTTTTTTCGAAAATTCGAGTGTTTTTCCTTTTCCTAATTGTCCGATTTTTTTTTCAGTTCGCAGACTGTCCGAAATCGTTTACCCCAGAACTGCAACTTCCGGGAAGTTCACTAACAACGGTGAACTCCCGGACCATAGGTGATCTCAACGGACACCTGATCTGCTGACAACTTAAATTTCATATTTTAAATCATTCTTTATTCGTATTCTTTATTATTTATTTATTATTTTCGAAATTAAATTGTTCGGGGGGAAATGATCATTTTTTTTTTTTGATTAGGAGTCCAGTCCACATTGGGACAGGGGACTGTATGTTGATTGATTGTTCTGTTCTACCCGTGTTCCCACCCTCCCTCCCCTCCCCGTACTCTGTGACCACTGAGGTCTCCAAGTACCACATCAACAGTGCTGATGTCGACGGAACAGGACACCAGGGCACTGCCACGACGCAGTGCCAGGATCGCAGTTCGTAGCCACACTGTGCTACCTCCATGGCCTAAGTATCAGCAGGCGAACGGCTCCAGCGGCATCTAGTACCAATGCAGCAGCTACAGTACCGGTCACCACAGGGGTCCTTCCCGCCTGTCCGGTCCAAGGGGACCACGAGACTTTGGCAGCTTACCTTCAGCGGGTGCAGGCATTCACGGATGCCGTCGCCACAGCAAAGGCACAGCAAGAGGCAGCAGAAGCAGAACGTCAGAGGCTTGCCAATGAGGCGGCAGCCCAAGCTCAACGGACTGCTGAGGCGGACGCAACGGCTCGAGACAAGCGGAACGCCGCCAGCGCTGAGTGCTTGATTCAGAATGAGAGTCAGTGGACAGCACTACTCCAAGGCATGACTTTTGTGCCTATGGACGAGCAGGCGGATCCGACACCGGCGGACGCGGAAAGAATAACCGGGCTAACTTGGTGCTGTGTATGATGAGGGCGGTAATGTGGAACAACACAATGCAGACGGTGCACGCGCACACTGGACGGCAGCTGAGACAGACTCAGCAGAGAGAATCTGCAACTTTGACAACCGCCATCTGCGCAGCAGCACAACATCAGCAACAACAGCAACAGCTGTTGGCATCCACTATCACATGTGTCAACAGCATTGAGGCTAAGCCCTCAGCAGCGCCAGGCTGCACGGCGGACATAATGAAGCAGCTCGAAGAGCGCATCGACCATGTCGTCAACATCATCGGCGACCTGGGTGACTTTACCAGTCCTGCCACGATCAGCAGCACGGTGGCCGCCATGAAGACGGACATCACCAAACTGCAGTCACGACCGGAGGCCACCTCGAAAGCATACAAGATGCCACGCTTCAACATCGGGAAGTTTGACAATTACAACAAAACAGACGCTTTGGCATGGTGGCAAGCCTTCATCACCGAAGCAGCCTGCCACCTCGTGCCAGAGGACCTGATGATGACAGCACTCTACCTCCAACTCATTGGAGGAGCACAGACATTCATGAACCACATGGCGGCCAATTTGGGAACCACCATTGCCAACCTGCACACGCACATCTCGTGGGAGCAGCTCAAGCAAATGTGGCTCACTCGATTCATGGTCCGCAACGTAGTAAAGGCGGCCATGAACGATGTCTACTCCAGCTCGCAAGGGAACATGTCAACACGAGACAGGATGATCAAGTGGCAGAAGATAGTAACCACTCCTGGTTTCGACTTAAGTTTCCCAAATCTGCGATCCAAATTCTTTTCGAGATCGTGCGCAGGACTGCAGTCGGCACTCGGTAACGAGTGCGACTATGCCTCATTCAAGGCCATCCTTGACTGTGCTAACCTGGTTATCCAAACAGATGACAAGGTCGCCAACGAAAGGAAGTCCCAGCCGCAATATGTCGCTAAGCAAGGCTACCAAAGGCCGACGAGTAACAATGCGGTGATCGTTGATGGATTACCTGATCTCCACGCTGCAGCAGCCTCCTCAAGTGATGGAGGAGTTGTTGCAGCGCTCCCGCCGAAACGTCCTAAAAGGGTTCGGAAGAACAAGGTGACACAAGGGACGACAGTGACGGAGACTGGGCAGCAACCATGGACGGCTTACAACATCACCAAGGAAGTTTCTGAACTTTGACAACGGTATGGGTATTGCTTCTGGTGCAACAGTGTAAACCACACGACTGTACAGTGCCCGGACAAGGGCAAGGCAAAGGTACCCCGTCCAGCTAACTCGGGAAACTGAGTTGCGCACGGAGAGGGGCGACGCCTCTCCACACTCCGCCGGAGCCGGTTGCCTTGCTAACAATCGATATCACTGTCGGGGAGCATGCGTTAGTTGCTGATTCTCATGACACATACGAGGACTATGCCGCCGAGTTGGTGCCACGATTGGACCAGCCTAGCCACGTG